AGCAGGCTAGAGAAGTGGCACTGTGGTCTAAACCACAGAGCCTAGGGCTTGCCGATCAGAAGGTCAGTGGTTCGAATCCCCGTGACGGGGTGAGCTCTCGTTGCTCGGTCCCTGCTCCTGCCAACCTAGCAGTTCGAAAGCACACCAGTGCAAGTAGATAAATAGGTACCGCTCCAGCGGGAAGGTAAATGGCGTTACCGTGCACTGCTCTGGTTCGCCAGAAGCAGCTTAGTCATGCTGGCCACATGACCCAGAAAAACTGTCTGCACAGAAATGCTGGCTCCCTCGGCCAGTAAAGCGAGATGAGCACGCAACCCCAGAGTTGTTGGCGACTGGACTTAACTGTCAGGGGTCCCTTTACATTTTAGAGGAGAGGCGCTTATGGGTTGGAGAAACCCATGCACCGTCAGAATCATGTTTCCAGAGTTGTGAGAATTGCTTTATTTTTAAAGGAAGTATTGTAGCTCAGTGCATACAGAAGGTGCTAGGGTCATTGTGTCATGATACCTCCCGATAGGGCTGGGATTCTTGTCCAAGACGCTGGAGAGCTCCTGGCAGTCAGCGTGGGTTGAGCTGTGTCCCAGCTGAAGTTTCAAACCTTTCGAGAACAGAACTCTTGGAAGGACTTTCGGCAGCGACCCATCTTCCTCTGCAGTGTGTCCCGCCACCAAGGGGACTTTGCCGCCTTGGCGACCCCTTCCCCGGGTCGTGCAAAAGGAGACGGAACCGTTGGCTCCATCCTGGATGACACCTGGCGGCCCAGCCTGTGGACTTTCGCCTGTTCGGGTCTGCGTCTCCTCCTCCACAGCTATTAATTACAGCATTGCGCACCTTCGGCATGAACAATGGCATTTGAAGCGCACCCTGGAATAATTCACGCCTGGGGCGGTGTGCCTTTGGAGCCAGCCCTTCAGATGATGGATGGGGCCCTCTGCCTCTTCCTTTTTAAAAAAAACCACCCTCCCTCCCGAGAGGGGAAGCACGAGCTTTCGCTCACTTTAGCCGCGAAGCGCTTGGAGCGGCCCAGGCAGGAAGAAAGTGTGGACGTGCTGCTACGTCCTCCCCACGGGGAAGATAGCCGGGAAAGCTTTTTATTTCGTCCTCCCCTCCTCCCTTTTAAAATCAAAGCAGGGGAAGCTGCCAAAAGTGTCATTAAGCCCCTTACGTGGGCCGGCAGAGGGGCTCTCTCTGCCGGTGGGAGACGGAACACGGCCATGAATATTCACAGAGGCGCTCGGCCCTTTGCCGCAGAAGGCCCATCAGTTATGGCGAGGCTGACGTCCCGCCTTGTCAAGGTGACTCCCGAGATAATGTCAGAGGATGATTCTTCCAAGCTAGGGAGGGGAAGGCGGCTCAGAGGACGGGGGGGGCTGGTGGAAGGAGAGGGTGTGGTGCGCTGACCCCCGTCTCTTCCTTTAATGGGACGGATGTGGGAAGTTGATCTCCCAGCTGGGATGCAAATATCTGGCCACCCGCTAGCGAGTCTGTAAAGACACACACACACACTGGTTTTGCTGCGAAGCGCAGTTGGTCAGCGTGGTGCCATCCAGATGTGGTTGGACCCCCAGTTCCGTCGCTCTTGCTGGGAGTTGGGAATCCCAACAGCACCTGAAAGGTCATAGAATGGTAGAGTTGGGAGGTGTGATGGACACGGAGCCAGAGGAGTCTCAGTCCGCACCGGACCCTTTGCCTCAGGCGGCATCTGAACCTAGTCTGGGGCCTGATCCTGAAGAGCCCCAGTCTGCAGAGGTTCCCCTGCAACAAGCACCAGCTGGGCCGAGTCAGGGGCCTGAGCCTGCCCTGGCTCCAGACGCGGGGATGACCTCGTTGCCTCCAGCTGGGCCATCGCTTACAGCTGCTCCACTACTGGTTGGCTCAGGAGAGGCTGAGGCGGCCCCTGGGTCTAGTAACCCACCGACGTCTCCCGAGCTGCAGAGACTGAAGTCTGAGAGAAGGAAAGACCTGAGTACTCGCAGGAGGAGTGCTCGCCTTCGGGCGAGACAGGGAGGTGAGTCGCCAGGGGATCAGGACCAGCCACTACCCTAACAAAGATAAAAGGCTGTTGGACCCCTCCCCAGGTTGCAGGAGCAACATTGCTGTATGCCAAATCCTGCCTGAGATCCGGTGCCTGACCTTGCCTGGTTTCCTGCCTTGGCCCTGCCGGACTGACTCCTCGCAGAACCCTTGGATTCGGGACCGGACCTGGACCGCGTTACCCGGGTTACCCCTGAGCCCAGCACAGGAGGGACCGCAGGGGTCATCCAGTCCAACCCCCTCGCAGCCCAAGAATCCCTGACAGACGGCCATCCAGCCTCTGCTGAAAAACGTCCAGCGAAGGAGAGTTCGCTGCCTTCTGAGAGAGTCCGTTCCACAGTCTATAGACACCCGTCCTCAGGTAGCTCAGGGGTGCCTTAACCCTTGGTCCTCCAGATCTTGCCGGACTCCCATCACGTAGGAACACAGGAGGAGCCTTCATGGATCAGGCCAATGGCCCATCTGGTCCACCTCCTGTTTTCACAGTGGCCAACCAGTCGCCCCAAAGGAAAGCGTGCAAACTGTCTCCCTTCCTGTGGTTTCCAGCAACCAATTTTCCGAAGCCTCCGATTGTAGAGAAAGGGCACCGCCATTGTGGCTAGCAGTATCCCCGGCCATTGGCAACAATATCTGGAAGAAGCCATGCTGGCTATCCCTGCAGTGTTCTCCTGCCATTGTGTGGCCTACTGCCTCTTCCCCATCCCCTGTAGATACTCCCCAGCCGTTTAGCATTTATTTATTGAATTTCTTCCCCATCTTTTTTTCTCCAAGGAGCATATGCAGGGCTCTCCCCCTTCTCTGTAGTGCCCCCAACAACCCTGCAATTTAGGTCAGGCTGAGAGGCAGTGATAATAATAATAATAATTTATTATTTATACCCCACCCATCTGGCTGGGCTTCTCCAGCCACTCTGGGCGGCCTCCAACAAAACATTAAAGGCGCTGTGGGTTAAACCACAGAGCCTAGGACTTCCTGATCAGAAGGTCGGCGGTTCGAATCCCCGTGACAGGGTGAGCTCCCGTTGCTCGGTCCCTGCTCCTGCCAACCTAGCAGTTCGAAAGCACGTCCAAGTGCAAGTAGATAAATAGGTACCGCTCCGGTGGGAAGGTAAACGGCGTTTCCGTGCGCTGCTCTGGTTCGCCAGAAGTGGCTTAATCATGCTGGCCACATGACCCGGAAGCTGTACGCCGGCTCCCTCGGCCAATAAAGCGAGAGCGCCGCAACCCCAGAGTCGGTCCCGACTGGACCTAATGGTCAGGGGTCCCTTTACCTTTACCTTTTTAATGCATCAAACATTCAGATGTCTTCTAAAAGTCTGGTAGTTGTTGTTCTCTTTGACATCTGATGGGAGAGCGTTCCACAGGGCGGGCGCCACCACCGAGAAGGCCCTCTGCCTAGTTCCCTGTAACTTGGCTTCTCGCAGTGAGGGAACCACCAGAAGGCCCTCGGCGCTGGACCGCAGTGTCCGGGCAGAACGATGGAGGTGGAGACGCTCCTTCAGATAGGGCCAAAGGCTTGCACCCAGTGAACTTCATGGCCAAGTGCAGATTTGAACCCTCGTCACTCAAGAGTCCTGGCCTGGCATTGCTACATTGCTACACCGGCTCTTCCAGAGGTTGACCAGTGGAACCAGAGGGGTGGCCACCAGTTCTTGGTCACCATTGCCCTCTCCCCTTTCTTAAATTCTGAGCAGCTTTGTTCCAATAGGAAAGCAGGATATACTGTATTTTTCGCTCTATAAGACGCACCAGACCACAAGACGCACCTAGTTTTTGGAGGAGGAAAACAAGAAAAAAAATATTCTGAATCTCAGAAGCCAGAATAGCAAGAGGGATCGCTGCGCAGTGAAAGCAGCAATCCCTCTTGCTGCTCTGGCTTCTGGGATAGCTGCGCAGCCTGCATTCGCTCCATAAGACGCACACACATTCCCCCTTACTTTTTAGGAGGGGAAAAGTGCGTCTTAATAGAGCAAAAAATATGGTAAATAATGAAACAAATGCCATCAGGGACCCTAGTGAGAGCTCAGGGCCTAGACACAAGAGTAGCTGGGGCAACCCAGCCAAATAGGGTATAAGTAATAAAATTATTATTATTATTATTATTATTATTTTCTTAGGAGTCTTGGGGAGCTGTGAGCAGAGGGGAAGCGCAATCTGCACTAATGAAGCAGAGATTCACCTCCCCCTTTTTGTTGGTGTCTACCTCCCTGCAGTTTGGCTGCTATTTTTATTCATTTTACAGCCCTGACAACGTAAATTCCCCCCCCTTCCTGTTTGGCACCACCAGGTGGCAGCCGAATCACACCTCTGGGTGATTTACGAGGGCGTTCCCCTGTCTTGTCCGCGCTCATCCTGCCCTCGACTCCTCGAACCGCTAAGCGAATTCTGTCTCTCGCCACCCATTTCCCCAAACTACCTTGTTTTCATAACTAACGTCCTTGTGGAGCAGGTATCCTGCAGGTATCCTAAAGGCCCTGCCCTCCCTGCCCATCTCTGGGCTGTCCCTTGAGTCTGCTATCAAAGCACATCCTTCAAAGAACATGCGTCACAAATAGCAGAGGGTTCATGGGGTATCCAGGCACCAGCTAGATGAACCAAAGAGGAAACAAGAGGGTTTTTTTTTAACTCCGGATCCACGCTGGGCGAGAGTGAACTGAGCAGGGAACCAGCATGCAGCTTCGTTCTACAATTCCCAGAGTAGTTCTGGGAGTTGTAGCTCCGTGAGGTGAACTGGGGTCTCTGACTAGGGTGCAAAAGCAGCTCCTGGAATTTTTGGGGGGGTAGCCATGGCAGTGGTATTGCTGTTTAAAGTGAATGTGGCCTTACTCCCAAGGAAGGCTACTTAGGATGGCATACTTCCTTTTACAAAGGTATACCTTCTAACCCATGTTCTAACCGTTCTACTCTCTGCCTTACACCTTTAATCCCCAAGCAAATAATTGTCGTGGCAAATGAAGTCAACATCACCCTTGTTTTGGAAGTCCAGTTTTATTCTCTCCCCTCCGGACCCGGAGGAGAAGAGGTTAAATTAAAACACCAAAGAGTAAGAGAGTTGGGTTGTCCGCTCCACACTCCTGCTCTGAGGAGACCCACTGAAGTTGGTGGACGTTGGTTTCAGAGGTTCTCTTGAGCAGAAGCGAGTCGCAAACAACCCATTTCCGGGGGAAGGTCTGTTCATTTGTGATGGGAAGTCCAAAGGCAAAGAGTTTGCGTTCTCCTCCGAGAGGGGCCCGAGTGCGAGGCGTCGCTTAGACAGCCTCGTTGAGTTTCTCCATCATCTGCTGCTGGATCTTCTTGGGGAGTTCCGGGTTGGTGAAGTAGTCTGGGAGGAGAGAGCGAAGGAAGACGAGAGGGTTAGCCAAAGGGAGAGGGAAGCCAGGGCCGCTAAAAGATTTATTGCATCTCCGAGGTGCACCGAGGACCTTCAAGGCGTCCTCAAGAATTCAAGGGCATATCCCAGCCAAGCAAAAGCACACCGGTCTCGTGTGGCCGTGGAAGGGAAGCGTTGCCTGGGGAGACTCTTGGAGGCCAGACGGAGAGGTCTGGAGGGCCGCATCTGGCTCCTGACATTCCCCACCCTTGGCCCTAGAGGGCACATCCCAGCCAGAGAAAAACACGCAAGGAATCTGTGGGGCAGGGCTGGTGGGGGACGTGGCCTGGCAAGAGCTCCCCGAGGGCCAGGGAGAGTGGTTTGGGGGGCGCATGGAGCCCCTAGGCACACCTGGTGCTGATCTGCCTGCCTCATCCATTCATGCTCCTCCATAAAAGTTCCAGGGCGCAGAGTAGAAATGGACAGAAAGGCCTCGGCTTCCTGTTCTCTTCCCACCCACCCCGGCCATGATCAAAAGACCCCATATGTACGGGGTGTCCTCTTTGTCACAGACCTGACAGCAAAGAGTATTACATGCACTGGCCATTCCTGAGCGCCACTCCCAGTGCCAGAGCATCAGCTGTGATGGCCTGGGATTCGGACTCGGATGCTGGACCTGAGGGATCCCAGCCTGCACAGGAGTCCCCGCCTCCAGAACCAGCTGAGCCGGGGCTGGGGCATGAGCCTGAAGGGTCCTCACCTGTGCTGGGTCCTCAGGTGCAGGCATCAGCTGAGTCTGCTCTGGCTCCTGAGGTGATGGAGGACCCATTGCCTGCAGGTGCTCCACTCTCAGCCCCGTCCCGGGAAGCTGAGGTTGCCTCTGGGTCCGGTAACCCTCCAGCCTCTCCTGAGCTGCAGAGGCTCAGGGCAGAGAGGCGGAGGGAACTAAGTTCCCGCAGGAGGAGTGCTTGCCTCCAGGCCAGGAGAGGCGAGTCACCTGTGGACCGGGGCTGCCCTGTGCCTCGGGGCAGATAAAAGCCAGCCAGCTCCAGTCCCAAGTTGTGGGAGCAATGTTGTTGGTAGCCAGTTCCTGCCTGCACCCTGTCCTGCCGGATCTCCTGACCTCACCCTGCCTTGGACCCAGCTTCAGCTTTGACGGACGGCCTCAATACTGCAGCCTCGACCGTGGACTGGACTCGGACCACGCCTCACGGAAACCCAGGGGACCAGCCCATCAGTCCTTGTTGGAATGACTTCGGTTTATATTCCTTCTGCAAGCTGTGTCTCTCTCCTGATCTCTGTTTTCTGACAAAGCTGGGTTGTTAGTTGGGCGCCCCTTGTGCTTTGAGAGCCCCCTTAGAATCATAGAATCATAGAGCTGGAAGAGACCACAAGGGCCATCGAGTCCAACCCCCTGCCAAGCAGGAAACACCATCAGAGCACTCCTGACATATGGTTGTCAAGCCTCTGCTTAAAGACCTCCAAAGAAGGAGACTCCACCACACTCCTTGGCAGCAAATTCCACTGTCAAACAGCTCTTACTGTCAGGAAGTTCTTCCTAATGTTTAGGTGGAATCTTCTTTCTTGTAGTTTGGATCCATTGCTCCGTGTCCGCTTCTCTGGAGCAGCAGAAAACAACCTTTCTCCCTCCTCTATATGACATCGTTTTATATATTTGAACAGGGCTATCATATCACCCCTTAACCTCCTCTTCTCCAGGCTAAACATGCCCAGCTCCCTTAGCCGTTCCTCATAAGGCATCGTTTCCAGGCCTTTGACCATTTTGGTTGCCCTCCTCTGGACACGTTCCAGTTTGTCAGTGTCCTTCTTGAACTGTGGTGCCCAGAACTGGACACAGTACTCCAGGTGAGGTCTGACCAGAGCAGAATACAGTGGCACTATTACTTCCCTTGATCTAGATGCTATACTCCTATTGATGCAGCCCAGAATTGCATTGGCTTTTTTAGCTGCCGCGTCACACTGTTTGCTCATGTCAAGTTTGTGGTCAACCAAGACTCCTAGATCCTTTTCACATGTACTGCTCTCAAGCCAGGTGTCACCCATCTTGTATTTGTGCCTCTCATTTTTTGCCCAAGTGCAATACTTTACATTTCTCCCTGTTAAAATTCATCTTGTTTGTTTTGGCCCAGTTCTCTAATCTGTCAAGGTCGTTTTGAAGTGTGATCCTGTCCTCTGGGGTGTTAGCCACCCCTCCCAATTTGGTGTCATTTTCAAATTTGATCAGGATGCCCTTGAGTCCATCATCCACGTCATTGATAAAGATGTTGAATAAGACCGGGCCCAAGACAGAACCCTGTGGCACCCCACTAGTCACTCTTCCTCTTTTAAAAAACTTAATTTTTCAGGTGGGTCCTGCATCGTCGTGAGGGAAAGGCACTCCAGGGGAAGCCGTGGCCCTTGACCTGTTCTTGGGACTACAGTTCCCATCATTCCTGTGGTTGGGGCTGGTGGGAACTGGGAATCCAGCAGCCTTCAGAAGGCCACAGGTCGGGTTCCCTGAAGGAGAACAGTGCTGGTCACTCTTGGCTAAATTTGGACCAGACGTTCTCGAAAGGGAAAAACGGGGACGCTGATTTACAAGGGACGGGAATCAGGAAGGTGGGACCCTTCTTGGTACACGGCAGTAGCTCAAGTGCACATCGTCTCCGCGCAGAAACTGGTGCGCTGTTCATTCAGGTGCGCTTGGTTCTTGTCAGGTGTGTGTGCAGGAGCCAGGTCCTGTGACCAGGACTGGGGCCTTCCTAAGTTTGTTCTGGAGAGGCAAGGTGCAGCCTCACAGGTGAGGCTGCTTGGTAACTCACAGCACCTGGTGGCAAGAGCTGGGAAGGGATATAAGGTCAGTATTTCCCTTTGGCTCTTTGCCACAGCAACACATTCCCTGCCTTGTTGTGTTTGGTTCCTTGACTCCTTGCTCCTCGGACCCTTGACTTGTCACTCCTTGCTTCTCGACCCTCGGACCCCTGACTTCGTGACCCCTTGCTTCCTGACCCTCGGACCCTTGACTTCGTGACTCCTTGCTTCCTGACCCTCGGACCCCTGACTTCGTGACTCCCCGCTCTCTGACCCTCGGACTCTTGGCTTCTGGACTCCCGTTCCTGCTCCCACCCCGCCATCTTGCCCCCGGTCCCGATGTCCCCAGCTGGGACTTCGATCGCCCGTGAACTGGACCGTGACAGTTCTCTCCCCTGCACAGTTGAAATGTCTGTGGGCATTCCGTGACACCCAGTGCCATCTCGCAGAAGCTGGTCATGCCAGCTGTGGAGGTAATGGCCAGGGACGGACTCCACAATCTTTTGCACGGGTGTTGCACGCATGAGGCCAGGGATGGGCAGAGGACACCTATGGGTGCCCAAGGATGAGGGGATGCTGGGAGTCCCAACAGCCTCCAGAGGGCTGCAGGTACCCCATCACCAGACGCTCCTGTGCTACCTGCTCTTAATAGCATAGGAAGAATTTGCAGGATCAGGCCATCAGCCCTTCCGTTTAAACATCCTGAGTGCAACCAGATTCCTGCAGGAAACCTGCGTGATTCGAGCACGAGAAAATACTCTCCTCCAGTTCCTTTCAACAACTGGTATGTGAAAAAATAAAATCTCTCAATATATAAGGCTAGTAAATGAAACCCTTACCAGCAGCAAACTCCCGAATATTATTTGGTCTTTGCAGCAGAACTTCCCTGGAAACATGGAGCAGGAAGGAGGGGGAGAGAGGTGGACAGGGAAAAAAAGACTTTTAAAAGGGAGTTTTTTAAGCAGTTGATTGTGTCCCCTCCTCCTTTCTCCTCACTGTTGATTTTGTAAGTCCTTGTCAAAGGTACGCAAGACAAATTGGTAAATCACTCTTTCCTTATTGGGAATCGATAAGCCAATTAGCAACCAGGGAGAAACGTTTAATTTACATCTGCATTCACCTTTGGGGAGGTGCGTGTGTGATGGAGTTTTATATTAAAAACAAGGAACAAGAACGTACAACCGTCACAGGGCCGAGGAAATATTTATAACAATTAAGAAGACCTCTTCGTAATTACAACGGTTCCTTCATTGGGAATCGATAAAGCAATTAGCAAGGCAGCTAGGAAAGCAAGGTGGGTGGGGGGAAATTGCCAAACTTTTTTTTCCGTGAGGGTGAACTGCAGCCTCGCAAGAAATACCCTGGGCACCTTGTAAATTAAAATAACTTTTTCAGTGAAATGGTGGGTCACCAGCTGATTCTTCCAAGGCTGATTTCCTCCCCCCCCCCTGTGGCCGCCAATCATAGAAGTCGAAAAACTTACCTGAGAAATCCTGACAGCAGCATTTCCACTTCCTTGTGCGCACGAAGGTATTTCTCATTAGCGATCCTGGTGTTTATCTGGGGGGAGGAAAGGGTCGTGAAGAAGCTAAGATCTGAGCATCTAAGCACATTTGTCCTGACTTGGAGGCGAGGTTTTTCCCCAGTTCCAAATCTTATTGCAGGCTATGGTGAAAAGCCTTGTAGCTGTTGAAGGAGACTGTTCACAACCCATTTCTTAACAGCTTGGTGGCAGGGACTGCCAGCAATAGAATGTGAACAAGCAGCGCTCGGTCTTTGAGGGAAGTGGAAGGTCATTTTGGCTGGGGAGGAAAAATACTAAACAAGGTCTAGCGATGGGGAAAATAATAATAATAATAATTTATTATTTGTACCCCGCCCATCTGGCTGGGTTTCCCCAGCCACTATGGGCGGCTTCCAACAAAGATTAAAAATACATTAAAATGTCACACAATAAAAACTTCCCTGAACAGGGCTGTCTTCAGATGTCTTCTTAATGACAGGTAGTTGTTTATCTCTTTGACATCTGGTGGGAGGGTGTTCCACAGGGCGGGCGCCTCCACTGAGAAGGCCCTCTGCCTGGTTCCCTATAACTTCGCTTCTCACAGTGAGGGGACCGCCTGAAGGCCCTCGGCGCTGGAGCTCCGTGGGCGCTGGACCCCTACGATGGGGGTGGAGACACTCCTTCAGGGATACTGGGCCATTTAGGGCTTTAAAAGTCAACACCAACACTTCAAATTGTGCTCGGAAATGTACCAGGAGCCAATGTAGGTCTTTCATGACCGGTGTTATGTGGTCTCGGCAGCCGCTCCCAGTCCCCAGTCTAGCTGCCGCATTCTGGATTAGTTGTAGTTTCCGGGTCACCTTCAAAGGTAGCCCCACGTAGAGCGCATTGCAGTAGTCCAAGGGAGAGATAACCAGAGCATGCACCACTCTGGCGAGACAGTCCATGGGCAGGTAGGGTCTCATCCTGCGTACCAGATGGAGCTGATAAACAGCTGCCCTGGACACAGAATTGACCTGCACCTCCATGGACAGCTGTGAGTCCAAAATGACTCCCAGGCTGCACACCTGGTCCTTCAGGGGCACAGTGACCCCATTCAGGACCAGGGAGTCCTCCACACCCGCCCACCTCCTGTCCCCCAAAAACAGTACTTCTGTCTTGTCAGGATTCAGCCTCAAAAGCACATTGTGGGGAAAGTGAGATGAGCGCCGCAACCCCAGAGTCGGCCAAGACTGGACCTAATGGTCAGGGGTCCCTTTATCTTTACCTTCTGAGTAGGGTATGTAGCAGCCCGGTCAGCCCCAAGCATGGCTAGCAGTCAAGCAGGGGTGGGAATTACAGTTCAGCAATCTTCTCTGATTCTGATGCCCATCAGCCCCAGCCAGCACAGCCAATGGTCAGGGATGATGGTGTTTGTAGTCTGCATGAGCCATTTTAGTAAGACATTCCTTAAAGGGGAAAATAAGGGCAGGGGATAGACTACCCAGAAAATCAGGACCACAGGGCTCCTTCCAACCCACTCCGATAATAATATAGACACCTTTAGCTTGCAGAGAGGCCCATTAAAATGTACAACAAAGATCCATGTGGCACCTTTAAAGACTAGCAGATTTATTGTGGCATAAACGTTCGCGGACTGGATGCGCCTGATGTGCTGGGCTCCAGTCCATGAAACCGTCTGCCACAATAAATCTGTTTTGTCTTGATGGTGCCACGGCGCTCCTCTTTTCCCCCGTGTTGGCTGTACTGAGACATAACTCCAGGCTACCCTCTCCGGAACGTGTCACAGTTAAAATACGGCCTCGGTTAGCTTTTATGGTGGTTGTGGTTGTTTTGTTTTATTTTATTAAATTTATATCCCACCCTTCCTCCCAGAGGAGCCCAGGGCAGCAACTGCACAAACGAGAAAGCAATTAAAATATCTCAAAACAATCCCGATGCAGATGCAAACCGGGGAGGGCGTCTACTTAAAAGGATGGCGATGATTTATTAATTTACGAATCTGCTTTTACATTTATGTCTCAAGGCGATTTGCCTTCGTATCGTTAAAAAAGAGAGAGAGTGTGTGTTTTGAAGATGGTAAGCAAAGAAAAGCCAAAGCTGAGATCTTTTTATCCAGTTTGGAAATAAAATAAAAATGTATTCAATTGTTTCTGGAAAGTACAGGTAACAGCTGCCTGTCATATCTCAGCAGTAGCCATGTAGCAGAACAGCCCAACCGGTAAAGATCACCACTAATTGCAGGCAAGTGTTTTGAGTGCAAAATAAGCATCCTGGAGCATGTGTAGAGTGCTGATGAGCACTTGCAGCCCCCGCCCCCGAGAGCTGTATCCTCTGTGAGCAGGCCTAGTCTTCTTTAAAAGCCATCCAAGTTTGCAGCCATCGCTAACGCCAGCCCCAGAGGCTCGCCCAAAATGGACAAATACCCGAAGCTTTTGCACTGGAAAAATAAAGTCAATCCCGCTCCAAATTGCGCCATCACATAAAAAAAGACAAAAGATGATAGATAGATAGATAGATAGATAGATAGATAGATAGATAGATAGATAGATAGCTAGATAGATAGATAGATAGATAGATAGATAGATAGATAGATAGAGTGGTACCTCAGGTTACATACGCTTCAGGTTACAGACTCTGCTATAACCCAGTAATAGTGCTTCAGGTTAAGAACTTTGCTTCAGGATAAGAACAGAAATCGGGCTCCGGCAGCGCAGCAGCAGCAGCAGGAGGCCCCATTAGCTAAAGTGGTGCTTCACGTTAAGAACAGTTTCAGGTTAAGAACGGACCTCCAGAACGAATTAAGTACTTAACCTGAGGTACACTGTATTAGACATTAGACAGACAGACAGATAAGACAGATAAGGCAGAGAGATGATAGATTAGATGAGAGATAGATAGATAGATAGATAGATAGATAGATAGATAGATAGAGATAGATAGATAGATAGATAGATAGATAGATAGATAGATAGATGATAGATAGATAGATATTAGACACAGAGAGAGAGAGAACAACAAAAAGAAGCCAACGCGAAGCAGGCAGTTATTTAAAACTTTGTTCTGAAAGAAACAGGTTTAATCATAGTAATCATAATCATAATCACAATGTGATTATGCTAAGCGACTTCTCCAGGGGGCTGTGACTTCTGAACACCCCAAAACTAAACCACCCGTTTCCCCGTGCTCCCCATCTTCGCGCCTTTCATCCGCTTTATCACTATTTCTTGCCCATCCTCTCCAAACCTGCTTTGCCCCTCCCGAACCACGAGAGAAGCCCCTTTGCGGGGAGCGTGAACCAGACTCCCAGCATGCCTTGGGAAAGCGGAGCCACAGTGCCAAGCTTTGTGGGTCTTTTCTAAGGGACCCCCCTGGACCCCCCCTTCCTCCTCGCCTCCCCTTGACCCACCTTGAAGTGGGACAGCTTGATCTGCTGCTCTGGGTTGAGGGCCCCCCAGTCCTGGCCTTGCAGGCCGGAGTCCAAGTCCACCATGTCACGGAGCGCCATGCTCAGGCAGGCAGGCAGGCAGGCAGGCGGCTGGCGTTGCCATGGGGACAGAGACACACAGAGACGCATGCCAGGATCCCCGCCAGATTCCTCGGGAAGCAGGCTCTCTCTCTCTCTCTCTCTCTCTCTCTCTCTCTCTCTCTCTCCTTCTCCTTCTCCTTCTCCTTCCTTTCTTCCTTCCATCTCTCTCTCTCTCTCTCCCCTTCTCCTTCTCCTTTCTTCCTTCCTTCAGGGTATGCGCTGTTTATACCTCAGGCAGTAAATGCAGTTTCAATAATATACCCTCTCTATATGGGAGAATCCACAAAAGAGAACCTAGAGAGAGAGAACAAAATTCTAGACCCCAGATTTCCTGGGCTTCTTAACCACCAATTGATTGCAGACAGGGGAAATTATTCTTTATTTAGTAATATTTACCGTATTTTTCGCTCCATAAGACACACTTTTTTCTTCCTAAAAGGTAAGGGGAAGTGTCTGTGCGTCTTATGGAGCGAATGCGTGGTCCCTGGAGCCGAATTGCCCAGGGGCAAAAAGGAGATCATGCTCTCTTTTTTTGAAAGAGGGAAGGGAGTGTTGAAAGGAAGTAGCTGATCGGTAAGCGATCGGGGGGGGAGAGAGATAAGGGATGCTAGCGATAAAGGAGGCTGCCTGGGAGGGGGAGGTAAAAGCCCATGGATCCTCAGGATTTTTGCATTGGGTCACCCCAAATTCACCATCAGATCACATAGCATGTCCATGGCTACAGCCTACACCAAAAAAATCACGCATCCGCTGTTGCGTGGGGCGGCGCAAAAACGTGGTTACAAATCACGGATCCACATGGATTCTCGGGATTTTTGCATTGGGCTACCCCAAACTCACCGTCAAATCACATGTCTGTGGCCACAGCATGAACTACAAAAGTCATACATCCACTGTTTCGTTCGGAATACTTTTTTTCTTGTTTTCCTCCTCTAAAAACTAGGTGCGTCTTATGGAGTGAAAAATAAGGGATTTCATTTATATCCCACCTTTCTTCCAAGGAGCTCAGGGTGTGCCATACCTGGCTGTCTCTCCCACTTCCTTGCCCATTCTGCACTCACACAACAACCCTGTGAGGCAGGTGAGGCTGAGAGATGACGAAGAGTAAGAAAGCCAACAAATAAATAAGGTGAAGAACTAAACACAATCAGCAGAGCTGGCACAAGCGCTGTGCCTTTAACACAGGCAGGAATTCTTCAGGTGCAGTTGTGGGGGGGAGAACTTCACCAGTTGGATTTCTGCCTGACTGCGCAGCTGGGAAAGGCACGTGAGCCCTGCTGGGTGTTGGGCAGGCACTGGCAGTTAGTGTTTTGACCCGTGAGTTTATCTTAAGCCTCCCCAGCCCTCAGGGCCTTGGCAGCCTCCCAGTCCTATCTGAAGCCTCTTTCGTTTCGCTGTGCGGTTGTATAAATAGATTTATTTATTTTCTCCGAGCGACCGCAAGTCCTCCCTTGAAAATGGCCAAGGAGCGGGAGTGCGGGGTGGAGGGGTGGAGGCAAAATGAGAAGAGAAACTTGCAGCAAAATGGTTTGATGGCGGCGGAAAGGTTAAAACCAACCTTCCAAAGTTCTCTCCCCCCATCAAGGGCACGAAAATTGAACGGGATATCAGCGTTGGTTAATTAAGGAAAACAAAAAAGAGTGAGCACGGTATTGTGGTGCAGGCCAACCCAGCAACTCATTTTTGCCCTTTGGCGAGGTAGGCACTCTGTCCATGCTCAGAAGCTTCCCTTCTCTATCACATCACATCTTCCGACAGGCTTTTTGTTGGGGTTCATCATTCCCCAACAGGGGTTCGCTCCAAGGCCCTGCCACCTACTCGCCCTCTGCCCCTGAGCTGCCTAACTGCCCAGAGCGGAGACCGTAAGGGAAACTGAGGCTGCGTTCTTGCAGTGCTCCAAGCGGGGCAGGTAAAGAGGTAAGGACAGCACCAAGGCACTGCAGTAATAATAATAATTAATAATAATAATTTGTTTTTTAAAAAATAATTTTTATTAAGTTTCCCATTTTAACAATCCAATCAAATCACATTGAATGTTATAAATACATATCAAATAGTACAAATATTCTGCCCAAATTATAATTTTTTTGTTGGGACTTCCCATGCTTCAAGTTCGGGGGATTAGGGTTAATATAATAATAATAATAATTAATAATAATTTATTATTTGTACCCCGCCCATCTGGCTGGGCTTCCCCAGCCACGCTGGGTGGCTTCCAACAAAGATTAAAAATACATTGAAACATCAGTCATTAAAAATTTCCCTGAACAGGGCTGCCTTCAGATGTCTTCTAAATGTCAGGTAGTTGTTTATCTCTTTGACATCTGGTGGGAGGGCGTTCCACAGGGAGGGTGCCACCACCAAGAAGGCCCTCTGCCTAGTTCCCTGTAGCAAGGCCAGGAGCTGCCCCTGGAGCATCATGGGGTTTGCCAACGGTGTGTAAGCAAGGCCTCCATCTAGAGAATTTTCAAGAAGAAATTCTCACGAACCAGCCAACATCTCTGGGCAGGTGGGGGGGGGCGGTTTGGCCTTAGCAAGCATTGCCAAACTCACTCTCCTGGATATATTAACCCCCCTCCCTTGTGGGGTTTTTTTTTTTTAACCTGTAGGGAAGATTTTCTTTCAAGTGAATGTCAGATGGAGGAATGGGGAAGGGAGTAGAGAGGGATGGAGAGAGGCGTCCGTCCCCCCCAGGTTCTAATTAAAAGAGGGAAAGTGGGAAAACGAGGAGGGCCCGAAATAGCTGCCTGCAAGAAGGCCACACACTCCAGAGTCGATATTTTGCGCCAAGATGACTTTTGGTTTGAGATTTCTGGGTAGAGCAGCGACCTTTGGAAAAGAGGAAAGGAGAAACTGGCAGAGAGAGAGATGGAGAGAGATGCTTTGAGTGCCAAGAGATGTGCTTTGTTGCACAAAGGACTAGTGGCAATGACTTGTGAGAACAGGATGCTGTGCTAGATGGGGAGCCTCTGGCCTGATTCAGCCAGGGTTGTTTTATAAAACCTCCAGCTCCAGGGGGAGTCTATCTAGATTCCTAGATTTTTAGGGATATTTGGCCACTGTAGGACCAGGTTGCTGGACTAGATGGGCCTTTGGTCTAATCCAGGGGTCAGCAAACTTTTTCAGCAGGGGGCCGGTCCACTGTCCCTCAGACCTTGTGGACTATATTTTTGAAGAAAGAAAATAATGAACAAATTCCTGTGCCCCACAAATAACCCAGAGATGCATTTTAAATAAAAGCACACATTCGACTCATGAAAAAGCACACTGATTCCTGGACCGCCCGCAGGCCGGATTGAGAAGGGAAGTGGGCCAGATCCGGCCCCCGGGCCTTAGTTTGCCTACCCCTGGTCTAATGTAACAGGCTCCACTTATGTTCTCATGAGTATGAAAACTGGAAACTGATCTGCAGGCTGCCTCGGTGCAAATTAAGCCCTGCCAATTGAGAGGACGGGCTCTCCTCTCCTCGCCGCCTCCCGTCACTTCACAGAGGCTGCTGCGCACGGCGCTGCCAGTGGTGGGAAGCTGGCCTGGCAGGATAATTACAATTATCTCCTGACGAGCGGAGGCGGCCGTGGCATCGCTAAACACAGTCGTTTGCACATTTGCTCCTTGAAGGGCAATCAGCAGCCCACGGGCCTCTTTCTGCAACCTGGCAAAGCACCGGGCAATCGATCTGATGTTACACACACACACACACACACACACACACACACACACACCCTTTTGGCTGGATTTGATTGTTTACAATGTCCCTTATGTGGGGCTGCCCTTGAAGACTGCTCAGGAACCTCAGCTGGTCCAAAATGCAGCAAGCAGCTTTCCGGGCTTGGGTCCTTCCAAATCTCATATTGTTGTTGCTTAGTCGTGTCCGCCTCTTCGTGACCCCCTGGCCCAGAGCACGCCAGGCACTCCTGTCTTCCACTGCCTCCCGCAGTTTGGTCAAACTCATGCTGGTAGCTTCGAGAACACTGTCCCACCATCTCGTCCTCTGTCGTCCCCTTCTCCTTGTGCCCTCCATCTTTCCCAACATCAGGGTCTTTTCCAGGGAGTCTTCTCTTCTCATGATGTGGCCAAAGTCTTGGAGCCTCAGCTTCAGGATCTGTCCTTCCAGTGAGCACTCAGGGCTGCTTTCCTTCAGAATGGAGAGGTTGGATCTTCTTGCAGTCCATGGGACTCTCCAGAGTCTCCTCCAAATGTAGGGGTCAGCAAACTTTTTCATGAAACCAAGCCGAAGAAGCAAGTCTACAAGCCTATGAATAGGCCCAACTGCAAAACTGCCAGTTGTAGCTCAAAGTCTCCTATCACCCAATATGACCTCACGCCTCAAAATATAGTTTTGGGTGGGGTGTCAATCCCCATATTCAGCTGCCAGTCAAGAAGGATCACTACTAAGCATTACTTACTCTGTTTCTTAAACATTTAAAATTCGGTATTAAAAACACATTGAAACACATCATAGTCACAAGAACAGGGCAGAGTCCTACAAATATACATCTTCAAGCATCAGAGGCCAGAGCAAAGAGATGCGTCTTCAGCCCATGACATAAATTATACAATGAAGGTGCCAGGCACACCTCTGCGAGAAAGGGAATTTCACATGCTGGGGGGATGACACTAAGAAGGCCCTCTCTCAGGCCATCCAACATTCCAGACCCAAAACTGGGATGCTCGTATTCTGGGTGACTCACGTGACCAACACCTCCAAGACTTTGGCCACCTCATGAGAAGAGGAGACTCCCTGGAAAAGACCCTGATGTTGGGAAAGATGGAGGGTGCAAGGAGAAGGGGATGACAGAGGACGAGATGGTGGGACAGTGTTCTTGAAGCTAGCAGCATGAGGGAGGCAGTGGAAGACAGAAGTGCTTGGCGTGCTCTGGTCCAGGGGGTCACGAAGAGGCGGACACGACTAAACGACTAAACAACAACAACAACATTTAGACAATATCTCAGGTTCAATCCCCAGCATCTCCTGGCAGAACTGGGAGGGGGGATGGAGGCGGGGGACACTCCTGCCTGAAACCCTGGAGAGCGGCTACCAGTCAGTATGCTGGGCTTCGATGGACCAGTGGCCTGACTCAATTCTCAATTGAAATCCAACCCTTTCTTCAGAAGCATGAGGACTGGAATGTTACGAAAATTCTAAAAATCAGTGCAGTTTGGAAAGGTCTGGTATGCCATATTGGTTCAACAATATCTGAAGCTAGGTCGCACCCACACCGTGCTCTTAAACCACTATTGTGCTGTTTCAAACAGTCATGGCGTCCCCCAAGGAATCCTGGGAAATGTAGGCTGCCAAGGGTGCTGAGAGTTCTCAGGAGCCTCCCCCCTCACAGAGCTACCCTTTCCCAGTGCCATTAACAGTTCTTCCATCCCTGTTCTAAGGGAAAGAGTGCCCACCTTGCATGCAGATTGTTGGCCCCTGGCAACTCCAGGCAGGGCTGGGGAAGCCCCCCAGGTAAGGCTGAGAGGCAGTGGCTGGCCAAAGTCACACCAGGGAGCTCCATGGCTGTGCGAGGATTCGAACCCCAGCCTCCCAGGTCCTAGTCCAACACTCTACCCATTAGGCCACGCTGCCTCTTCTATAGTCACTTGCTCTGTCGCTGTGAAGGCAACCAGGCAGCAGGAGGGTGAGGAGGGGCGGGCACAGGCATATTGGGAAACGGGAGCCCTGTGTCCGCCTTTAGAAAGGAGCCGGTTCTGCTGTCCCCAGAGCCGTCTTTTCCATTGGTCTTAGTGGTGTGTTGCGCCAGGGCGCCGGCCTCTCAGGGGCGCCCCAGCGAGAGGGGAAGCTGCGCGGCTTTGCTGGCAGACTCCCCTTTCCCTGCATGCCCAACAGCTGCACCCCGCCAACTATATGGCCAGCGGGCGTGCAGCTTCCTTCCCAAGCCTCCTCGGGAGGAGAGCAATCCCCTCAGAGGCCTCTGCATCTGCTAAAGACGGCCCTGATCCCAGTCGTCGTCGTCCTCCTGCTTCCTGGTGAAAGGCGGCGTGCAGCCTTCCTGGGTGCCCTGACGCCGGACAGGATGTCCGCCAGCACGTTTTCCTGCTCAATCGTCGCCGCTACACCAGGGATCGGGGCGGTGGGGGAGGCAGAGGACATTTTCCACCACCCCTTGTTTTGGAGTTGCCAGGGGGGCGCGTCGGAGGGATCTTTGCACCACGGCGCCGGATAAGCTTAAGACGGCCCAGGCCTTCCCAGAAGTCACTGGAGCTGAATCGGCCCGGTTCCCTTTCTGCAAGAGATGATGTGTTCAGGGCCCCCCGCTGGGAAGACAGCATCTCCCATCCACCCCCATCCACTCCGCAGCTTTTCAGACAGGTCCCTTCTGTAGCCCCGCCTCTGTGCCCCCCCCTCTCCTCCTTCCTCCCCTCTCTCTGTGGGGAGCAGATAATAGACGTGAAGAAAGCCGCTTCCCGCGGTCCTTCCATGTTTTGCCGTAGGAGGTGCCCCAGCTGCTCTCCCTCATCCCAGCAGGAGGGAAGGAGGCAGCTGGCAAGAGCACTCCAGATCAGGCCGAGATTGGCAAGGGAGGCATTGGTTAGGGGTGCAAAGTCAGAAGGGGGCGGGTCGTGGTTTTTCCATTTCCTTGGTTGGAAAGGCAAAGCCAGTGGCTGAATGCGACCGTCAAGTCCTCTCTCTAAAAGCCCAGGCTGGAGTGTTTTTGCCTGGTCGGATTGGGCCCTCGGACTCCAGCCATGCTCCTTCCTTCCTTGGATAGAGAGGAGCACGTGTAGAAATCTGGCTGGGGTTGTTGCCAGTGTTAGTCTTACTCTGAGTAGACCCATTAAGATTAAGGGATTTGGCTAACTTGGGCCCATTGTCTGGAATGTGGCCCTCAAGCTGGAAATGGTTCTTCCTCAACCCTGAGCTCAGCTGTTTACTGTATTTTTTGCTCCATAAGACGCCCCTAGCTTTTAGAGGAGGAAAACAAGGGGGGGAAATATTCTGAATGCAACAGTGGATGTATGGTTTCTGTGGTTCATGCTGTGGCCACAGTCATGTGATTTGATGGTGAATTTGGGATGACCCAATAGAAAAATCCTGAGGATCCATGAGCTTTTACCTCCCCCCTCCCAGGCAGCCTCCTTTATCTCTAGCGTCCCTTATCTCTCTCCTTGATTGTCAAGTGATCAGCTGCTTCCTTTCAACACCCCCTTCTCTCTTTCAAAAAAAACACATGATATAACAAATCGAAAGCACATCAAAGTGCAAGTAGATAAATAGGTACTGCTCCGGCGGGAAGGTAAAAGGCATTTCCGTGCACTGCTCTGGTTCACCAGAAGCAGCTTAGTCATGCTGGCCACATGACCCGGAAGCTGTACGCCGGCTCCCTCGGCCAGTAAAGCGAGATGAGTGATGCAACCCCAGAGTCGGTCATGACTGAACCTAATGGTCAACGGTCCCTTTACCTCTATAGGCCGAGGGAGCTGGTGTTTGTCCACAGACAACTTCAGGGTCATGTGGCCAGCATGACTAAGCCGCTTCTGGCGAACCAGAGCAGCTCATGGAAACGCCGTTTGCCTTCCCGCCAGAGCGGTACCTATTTATCTACTTGCACTTTGATGTGCTTTCGAACTGCTAGGTTGGCAGGAGCAGCGACCGAGCAACGGGAGCTCACCCCGTTGTGGGGATTCGAACCGCCGACCTTCTGATCGGCAAGTCCTAGGCTCTGTGGTTTAACCCACAGCGCCATCCGCATCCCCTTTGGGACAGGATAAGGATGAGCAAATACAGTTAATTCCGGTTTCTCATTTTTCCACAATCTTAAGTTCCGTTCACCACATTCTCCATCAGTTTGTACATTTTTGTTGTTTAAAAAGTCCATGCAAAATATATTCAGTGGTTTAGTGCAAATTACTCCCAATATACACGTTTTTGTATGCTGTCTGGCCCAGCGTACACACATATATATTTTTGCAAAGCAACTTCCCCTAATATATATGTTTATATGCATACTTGTATCCCAGTACACTATATGCATTTTTGTGCACGTAACTTGGCTGGAGAACTGCATCGCAAAATTTGTAGAAAGTGAGGATTTCAGTATGAGGATTTGCAGTTTCCTCTAATTTATTTTGGCAGGTTGTTCTCACTAATATATGTGTCCTTATGCACGCTTTACCCTAGTAATATAAGCATTTATGTACACTTTTGTTGTTGCTGGAGAACAGCGTCACAACATTTAAATAAGTACAAATCTCAAGGGATAGACGCATATTGTCTCAGAAGGTGCAATTTCTCATCTCCATCCCAATCCCCCTGGGTCATCCTTGCATTTGAGGTTTCCCTGGAATTAACTGGAGATACTGCTGAAATTTGAATTTCTTTCTGGGTTTCGGCTCCCAGCTCTTCCAAACAGCAGAAACGGACCTTGTCTTAACTTTGGGAGCAAAATCCTGTGTGAACTGGGGCACTGTGGTACCAAATAGTATGGGAAACAGCCCTACTAGAAAAATTAACCAATAAACTGAAACTGTAAAGGTAAAGGGATCCCTATTAGGTCCAGTTGTGGCCAACTCTGGAGTTGTGGCGCTCATCTCGCTTTACTGGCCGAGGGAGCCGGCATACAGCTTCCGGGTCATGTGGCCAGCATGACTAAGCCGCTTCTGGCGAACCAGAGTAGCGCATGGAAACGCCGTTTACCTTCCCGCTGGAGCGGTACCTATTTATCTACTTGCACTTTGACGTGCTTTCGAGGTTGGCAGGAGCTGGGACCGAGCAATGGGAGCTCACCCCGTCCTGGGAATTTGAACCACCGACCTTCTGATCAGCAAGTCCTAGGCTCTGTGGTTTAACCCACAGCACAACCCGTGTCCCAAAAACTGAAACTGACACGGGGACAAATAGAAGAAGACACCTTCACCCCGGTATGGCTCCCCTTTATCACATACACGCCTGTTTTGCACACTCAAGCTTCCAGGTTCAACCCTCAACATCTCCCAGTTGTTGTTGTTTAGTCATTTAGTCGTGTTCGACTCTTCGTGACCCCCTGGACCAGAGCACGCCAGGCACTTCTGTCTTCCACTGCCTCCCGCAGTTTGGTCAGACTCATGCTGGTAGCTTTGAGAACATTGTCCCACCATCTCGTCCTCTGTCGTCCCCTTCTCCTTGTGCCCTCCATCTTTCCCAGCATCAGGGTCTTTTCCAGGGAGTCTTCTCTTCTCATGAGGTGGCCAAATCTTGGAGCCTCAGCTTCAGGATCTGTCCTTCCAGTGAGATCTCCCAATACAAGGCCAAGAAAGACCTGAAACCCCGAACAGCTTCTGCCAGTCAGTGTCTGCAGCACTAAGCTAGATGGACGTATGGCCTAACCGAACACAAGCCAGTTCCCTGTGTTCCCTGTTATCTGTATAAAAGCTGGTTTAAGTCTTGGGGTGCAGATACGTCTCTCACCCCTCACAGTCAGAAATCAGCTGGGGGAAACCTGTCAGCTCATCCAGGACAAGGCAGGTCATTCCCAGCAGCTCCCCCCCCTCAACTCTAGCCAAGACTCACCTTGGCAGATCTCCAAATCAGGATGGAGGGACACCCCCTCCGCTCTCGCCCCTCCGCCAAACCTGCCTTTTGCCCTCCTCTGTCTCCAGCAGCTGCTCCGTCTCTCTAAGCCACGGGCTGCCTCCTGACCCACTTTCTCTGCTCCTTCCCCTCCACCCCCTGGCATGGAGGGCTCAAGCTGTTCAGGCTCGCCTTGACGCCCCCCCCCCCCAGTGCATGTTCCTTCCATCCAACCAGCTGACTGATAACAAAGCTGTCGAGGAAAGCACATTCTGCACCCCTTCCCAGGTTTAAACGGGCTCTCAAAACCAAAACTATTATAGCAGGTTTTTGGGGATGTGGCCCCCAGCCCTGTCTTTCTGGCCCTTAGGATTCTCCCCAGCCCAGATTAGCCCACATTCATTTTGTTACTATCATTCCTAGCTAGAATGGGTCTTTAATAATAATAACTACAACTACAACTAATCCAGAATGTGGCAGCTAGACTGGGGACTGGTGCTGACCTTTAAAACCCTAAACGGCCTTGGTCCAGTATACCTGAAGGAGTGTCTCCACGCCCATCGTCCAGCCCGGACACTGAGGTCCAGCGCCGAGGGTCTTCTGGCGGTTTAGGGGCAAAATCCATCCAATAAACATTAGATGATCACCAGGGCTAGCTGGCTAAATTAGTCCTATTTGGGCCAGTGAGGAGACCAGGGGAGAACTAGCTGTGGGATCCCAAAGCGGGTAATCTTCATAAAAAGGGAAGGAAGGGGAAGAAAAGATCAGGCAAAGTTCAAATTGAAAGCCAGGCGGAATAGCTCTGTCTTACAGGCCCTGCGGAAGGAAGTGAAATCCTGCAGCGCCCTGGTCTCCTGGGACAGAGCATTCCACCAGGTCGGAGCCACCACTGAGAAGGCCCTGGCCCTGGTGGAGGATAGTCTGGCCTCCAAGGCCTGGGACTGATGGGAGCTGGGAGTTCAAAAGCACCTGAAGCCTGGGTAAGGTTACCAGTCCCGTCCCCCCCATGAATCCTGGGACACTTTAAATAAATAAATAAATAAATAAATAAATAAATACTACACATTGAGAAGCAGCCC